AGAGAGAGGGGGGGAGAGAGGACTCAGAACATATCAGATAAACAGAGGGACTTAGGAGTGAATCGTGTATTAGCCTAAAGAATTGTTAGAGATAGAGTAGAGTTAGTGTATTACCTACAAAAGATCAATAAAAGAGAACTAGTTTACCTACCTACAAGACCATCAAGCAAGTTACCCCGGACAACAAAACCGGAGTAGGACGCGTTGCGGAGCGGAGAAGTGCAAGAAAACTCCTAGGGCGCGCCGTGCTTTCCACAACGTCCTGAACAGGCTACCAAACAAACGGTCCGGATCTATGACACCCTTTGAGGCGTTCTATGGCATCAAACCATCCTGCGAACAACTGAAAATCTTTGGACAGAAGGCTTTTGTACATGTGCCGGAGGAACTGCGGAAGAAACTCGACATTCGGGGCCTGGAAGGCAGGGTTGTAGCGCATTGCGACGACAGCAAAGGTTGGGTATTCTTCATCAAAGAAACCAACCAACTCATTGCCAGCGCACTTGTAGACTGGCCGGAAAAGCGACCACTTCAGGGCAATGTTACTACTAATGTACCAGCTCCCTTACCTATTAATCCTACAGGTCCAACGGTCTCCTCCCGGGGGGTGTCGCAGAACACACAAACGCCAGCGGTAAAAGAGAATCTGAAACCTGACCATAATCCAGTGATTACCGACCTGCCGAAGATGTCCCCTAAAACACCGACAAAATCCCCGTCGTCAAATATGCTGCCACAAAGGAAAACTGATGTATCTTTCATAGTGAACAGGATGGAACTTGGAAATTTCACCGATGAGATGCAGGCTAACGAGCAGGAGCTAATAGTTGATCAAGTCCTACTGGAATGTACTTTCTTTGCGTCATCAGTGCCAAAGACCTTTAAACAGGCACAAAAGTCGAAAGAGTGGCGCGACTGGAAGAAGGCTATAGATGAAGAACTGAAAAATCTTGAGGGCATGCGAGTTTGGTCCGTCAAGGTAGTCCCAGCAGGTCGCAAACCCCTCAAAGGCCGGTGGGTATTCGCGGAAAAAATCAATGATGAAGGCATGACCATCCGGTACAAGGCCCGGTACGTAGCTAAGGGTTTCACTCAAATCATTGGTCAAGATTACCTAGCAACCTTTGCCCCTACTGCGACTTTTGTGTCCATGCGTCTGATACTCACCCTAGCAGCCAAATACAACTGGAAAGTATACTCATTTGATTTTGTAGCTGCTTACCTGAATGCTCCCTATTGACGAGGAAGTGTGGGTTGAAGCTCCTGAAGGCTTGGATGTTAAACCCGGCGAGGCCATGTTGTTGCACAAAGCGCTTTATGGGACGAAACAGGCGGCGAGGTGCTGGTGGCTCCACCTGAAGGAGGTACTCAACGATCTTGGTTTTGAGGCGAGCCAATACGACAACAGCTTGTACACCGTCAAACGGAAAGACCAACAAGGCATTGTGTGGGTTCATGTTGACGATGGGATCGTGACGGGCTCATCGACGTCTCTCCTGAAACAGCTTGAAGAAGGCCTAAAAGGGATGTTGAAAATTAAATGGAACGATGGATTGGACTCAATCGTGGGTCTCGAAATCAAGAGATCAGCAGCTGGTTTCAGTTTGAGACAACCCAAACTGATTAAACAGGTACTGTTGACGCATTGGGACGGTGCTTTCACACACAAGACTCCACTGCCTCCTTCACTCGTACTGACCACTGACCCTGAGGGTGATCCATCGAAATCTACTGAATTCCTCTCCATTGTAGGTTCACTAAGCTATTTAGCGGTAGGGAGTCGGCCTGACATTGCGTACGCAGTCAACACTCTAGCGCCTTTCTCTGCTAGTCCAGGTGTCAATCACTGGAAAGGGATAAAACACCTGATTGGCTACATAGCGGATTCACAGGAAGTACCACTCAACCTGTTTCCAAACTCCAGCCCGAAACCACTCAAATGCTACTGTGACGCATTGTGGGGCGGTGAATTCTCCAAATCAACATATGGAATTGTTGTTACCTTTTTCGGATGCCCAGTCCTCTGGACTTCCCGACGCTTCGCGACCATAGCCGCTTCTACCTGCCAAGCGGAATATATGGCCCTCGGGATTGGTACCAGACAAATCCTCTGGGTGAGACACTTACTGACCGACATTTTGAAAAAGGAATTCACAGGTCTTTTACATTGCGACAATCAAGCAGCCATCCGAGTCAGTACGGATGACTCAGCAAACAAGAGGGTGAGACACGTGGACAGAGAATTCTACCTAACCAATCAAGCATTATATGAGAAAAAGACCGAACTTGTCTGGGTACCAACAAAGGAACAGTTAGCAGACGTTTTGACAAAAGCACTACCGCGAGATTCCTTTACATTTTTTCGTGACAAGTTAATGGCTGGTGGCTAGGTGAGGGGGGAGTGTTGGAACCCAGTCCTGGGTTACCAGTGGAACTCACGTAGCCACCTTGTAGCCCCTGTTGTATCATGTATATAAACTAGTTCCCTGTTTATCTACATGAAATTCATCACTCATCCGAGTGTTTCATTCTCACATCACATCAGTTTGTTACAGTGAATCCTTGAAATTTGACATTCCTAACCCTCTCCCCTGCAGATATATTGTTTGTACATTTTTTCACTCATCTATCTCAAGTTATGGT